TAGATGAGTGTGGCACGCAGGCTCTTGTTCATCACCAGTAAAAATGCATAGCTAATGGTGGTGACTGTGTTGAAAAATAGTGTTTTGTAGCTAAGAATTTACTCTATCAAAGAGTTTTACTGTGCTCATTGTATCTGTTGTAGTTTCTATGAAAGTAAGTACAAGGCATTACTTTCACAGCGGCTCCCACTGCAGAATGGGTTTTTAAACCCAGCCTCTCAGTCCTGACTTTGGCTGGTTGGGCAGCTTCTGCTCTGTTGTGCTGACACAATTATTTGTGGAGCTGGGCTGTAAATGAGCATACCAGTCCAGGTTAAAATAACTCTTTCAAAACAACTGTGATCTGATTCCACAAAATGTTGTCAGCATAGCTGAGGGCTGGCATGCTTTGTCCCAGACCCAGGTGCAAGAATGAATGAGGGCAGAACATGGAAACTCACTTTATTGAGGATGAAAACATGAATATATTGTGTATAAAGAAAAGCAGAAAGGCAGGCAAAAGGAGTACCATGGGAAAGGTGCATGGGGGAAATCACTTAATCATTCTTGGATATATCAGCAGTAGAAAAGTATTGAGGAGGTGGAAATCCGTCAGTAGCTGATAACTGCGATTGTAGTGCAGCAAGATTTCTGCCTCTAGCAGCACTCTGTTCTCATCAGGAGCTCACCCCAAGTTAGCAAAGATAGCAAGGTTGGCCACGCAGTCAGCCAGATCAAGGATTCAAACCACTCTAAGTAGCAGCTGTCTGAGACTAAGCACATGCCACAGGGAGGAAGCAGCTAGTTTTTGGTGACTGTTGCCTAGTATTGCTCTTGGCATGGTATGGATGCCACTGGAATATCAGTGGAGAGGCAGAAATGAATGGGACGTGGTGAGGGGAAGAAGTCACGGCTAAGGCTGTACCCAGCACTGGAATAAATATTCCTCCTCAGGAATTCACAATGTTTAGCACCTTTTTTCACGTCTTGGATTGAGTAAGGTGCTTGGTATAGGTTCACCTGATGTTTTCATGCTGGGACAATTCCAAGCTGTGGACAGAGTTGGTAAAAAAACGGCATTGGAGTAAAGTCTTGGTGTCACATGGGGAGGGTGAGCACAGAGGGGTTTTTGGATGAGGTGGGGAGAAAGAAGGTCCATGGCTGATTGGTGACATCAGCTGAATGGTGACATTATTCACCATCGCCAGTAATTCTGTTTAAACAAGGAGCTAGTGTGTGTATTATTTAAGAATGCCTAGTTGGAAAATATACTCAGTTTTGGACACTGTGCTCCAAGAAATATGCTGATCAATTGGAAGAAGTCCAGAAGAAAGTAAAATGAGCAAAGGTCTGGGAAATGTTCTCTGTAAAGGAAGGTTGAAGTAACTGGCTTTGCTCATTTTATAGAACAGAAGATTCTAGGACAACCACAGTTTTCAAATATATTGGGATAAATGCAAAGAGGAAGAAAATATAAGTTGTTCTCTGTAATTATGGAAGCTAAGGCAAGGAATAATGAGGATGTATTGTAAGGAGGGAAATACAGGTTAAACATTCAGAAATGTTTTCAAATAGTATGAACATCTAAGCCTGCGGATAGTTCCTCTGCATTAATACTGCATTTTGTCATCAGTGGTCTTCAAGAACAATAAGACAACTTACAGTAAGGAGCAATTGAGTATGTTGAGTATAGTTGAATACAGTTCAGCTGTAGTTGAGTATACGTCAGATCTGTGCAGTCGGAAAGGATGAGGTGCTTTGAGTGTCTTCATCCTTACTTTGTGGGGTTGCATTTACTGCATTATGTACCAAGCACTGTGTATGCATGCCCTGCACCAGTGGTAGAAGTCCTGCCCCACGCCTTCCTACCTCAGTGCATTGTACCAGGGCTGTTAGCAGTGCTTCTGGCTCCATCCTTTTGGCTGCTCATCTGCAGCCAAGATCAAAATGAGACAGAATACCAGATATTGTTAGGAACAGTAGAGCTTTGTCAGTGTGGATAATCTTGAGTGAGATGGATAAAGGAGCACTCAGGCGAGCAAGTCATTGGGGTATGGAGGCAGGAATGGGTTGAGGAATCGGCGCCAGGTGGTTGGAAAGGACAGTGCTGGGAACTGGTAGAGATGTGTGTCTGCTCAGCCTGTGCCTGAGCCAGCCCTGTGCCTCCCAGCTCCAGTCTTCTGCACAAGGATTTGTTGCTTTTTTTCCCCACTCGCTCTAATAAAGTTAGGGGAGGTACTGCCCAGCTCTTCCCTCCTTAGCAATTTCAAACCCAGCAAAATGTGCAAGGCTTAGTTAATTTTGGATGGAGTAGGATTTTACAACAGACACTCTTCTGTCATGTAGCCCCATCCTGGATTGCTGAGGGAAGCAGTGAAGGATTTGTGCCCTCTTGACATTTCCAGAGGTCAGCTATGAAGTCCTCTGTCATATTGCCAGTGCAGAGCTGCAGCACAGCGCTTGTTTCCAAAGGAGAGACTGACATTGTTCTGTGTGTGGTTCTTCCCCTTGCACTTCTGCTTTGCCTTCTATTCAACTTCTTTACTTACTGTGTGATTTGAGAGAGAGGTTTTCATTTTGCTTTCATCACAGGGATGCTTTTCTCCTTCCTTTATTCGTCTTTATTGAAGGCTCCTCTTACGCTACCTGTGACACTGGTTGCACTCCTGCAGTTGACTTTTGCAACCATAAGCTGTGGCCAGGGAAATGTCATGTAAAGTTCACGTCCTGCCTCATACTGACGGCAGAGGTAAGAAAGGGAGGGAGAAGCACTCCTGTCATGCCAGCACGTTCTAGTGGCAAAGGGCCTTTGGAAACCCAAGAAGAAGTTTGCTGCTTGCGTCTCCGGTGTAGTTTTTTATCCTGATTTATGTGCAGTCAGCGCGATTCTGTTGGCCAGCTTGCAAAACTTTCCCTGGTTGTTTCTCCCTGTTTGTATGGAACTTGATTGTATGGAACTTACCTTTAATCTCAGCAGGAACTGTTTGCCCCCCATCATTTGTATACTCACCCATTGCTGTTAGTTCTAACTCATTTAAGCCTACTTATTCTACAAATGATTCTTTGTAGTCTGAACCTCCTCTGGTACTGGAATTCCTCACATATTGATTGCATTCTGCTTTTACCCCATGATGTAAATCACAGAATTACAGAATCACAGAATGGCCAGGGTTGGAAGGGATCTCAAGGATCGTGAATCTCCAACCCCCTGCCACATGCAGGGCCACCAACCTCCCCATTTCATACTAGACCAGGCTGCCCAGGGCCCCATCCAACTGGCCTTGAACACCTCCAGGGACGGGGCATCCACAGCCTCTCTGGGCAGCCTGTTCCAGCACCTCACCACTCTCTCTGTAAAGAATTTCCCTCTGACATCCAGCCTAAATCTTCCCTCCCTCACTTATATTTCCCCTTCTCCTGCTGTTATCTGTCCTTTCAAAGAGTTGATTCTCCTCCTGTTTGTAGGCTCCCTTTAGGTACTGAAAGGCTGCCATGAGGTCACCCCGCAGCCTTCTTTTCTCCAGGCTGAAGAAGCCCAGCTCCCTCAGCCTGTCTTCATAGGGGAGGTGCTGCAGTCCCCTGATCATCTTGGTGGCTCTCCTCTGGACCCTCTCCAACAGCTCCCCGTCTTTCTTGTACTGAGGCTCCAGACCTGGGCGCAGTACTGCAGATGGGGCCTCACAAGAGCAGAGTAGAGGGGGACAATGTCTGCCTTAACATTTTGCCTTTCTTGGTGCTCCATTTTATTCTGTGGGAAAAAGTTTTGAAGTGCATTGGACGTAGTTTCTTGTATCGCATTTATGCACAGGTTTTATTTTTGAACAGCGTTCCAATATTTCATTATGAAGTTGCATTTTAGAAGTACTTTAATCGTTATTCTTCAGTGAAGAAGAGCATGAGCAGACTGTGTTTCGTGGGACCTAGATGCAGCACATTGGAGTTACTGACTGCACCAGTTTATAGACTTCTGTCTTCAAAAGAGCTTCAGAGTGGCTTTAAAGCTGAAAGCTCTTTGAACATTGGTGCTCAGCTTGATGGAAATTTAGAAACTCCATCAGGTAGTTTCAGATATGGATATTTCAGAAATAGGAACGAGTGATGTGCCCTCCAGCCAGCTCTGAATACAGGCCGCAGTGGGGCTGTTATGGAAAACAAGCAATTTGTGGACTTGGGAAAACCACGAGGAGTGAGCGGCACTGACTCCATGGAGCTAGAAGTCATGTCACCTCTTTCTCCAGTTCTCCCATGGGACATGAGCTCTGTGTGCTGTGTAGGAGCCAGGCAGAGCGAGAGATTCTTCTAGGGTTAGTACGGTCCTGGACAGCAGAGGATTAGTTCCTTAAAACCTGATCTATTTTGGCTCTGCTTTTTTTTACTAGTCTGGTGGGGGGGGGTGAGGAGGTCCATTAAATGGAGTGCTGCTGTTAATTCCTCAAGTTGTGGTTTTCTGTCAGCAGGCAGATGCACTTTCCTATCCAAGTGTTCTTGTCATAGTAGTTTCTGTTACGTGGAGCAATGTATATGTCCTATTGTAGACCTGCAGAACCAGCCCATGCATGCACACAAAACACAGGTGCAAATGGAGGAAAGATCGGCAGCTTCCTTTGACATTAAGAGGTGGTAAAGAGGATTTACAGTTCATTAGGATCCTCCCCCATGAGGATCCTTCCAACCATCTCATGCATCCCCTTGCTGTTTTGGTGCCATTCACTTACCTAAGGGTCCTGGATATTTTGTTGCCATATCGAAGCTCGTAGGAAGAGTTTGTTGGAGGAGTTTGTTGGTGAACAGTGGATAGTTCCACTTGGAGTGTAGCCCACAGATCAGCTCCTGTGCTGTCAGAATATGACAGTTCATACAGCTTTATGCCAGCTGGGATGTTGTCCTGTGTGCTGGAAGATGCCCGAGGCAGTTGCTGTGCGCTATTTGTTAATTTGTTTGGCCTGGAAGGACGTGTGGTAAGAGAACTTCATCACTTGTACTCATTCTCTAAATGTGTTTTTTTTGTTTTTTTTCTACAGCTCTGAAAAGTCCAGCTGCATTTCATGAACAAAGAAGGAGTTTGGAACGGGCCAGGGTAAGATGCAATATGCTCCCAAAGATTTTAGGGAAATCAGGAGCAGTCTGTCTTGCAGTTTGGGCATCCCACACGACGCAGAAGGGAATCCTTTGCATTCTGAATGTGCAGTTACAGATTTGAGTGGGATGTTTTTATTTGTGGTGCTGGTTACTCCCCAGTGAACAGTTGTAACTAAAAGCCACTGAAGACAGTACCTAGATTTTCCTTGGAGGTCACTGATATTTTTCTTCCTGTCATTCATTTACTGTATGTTATTTTTATAGTGTCTGTTTTGCCCTTCAATGATGTGGATGTCGTTGAAATAGCTGATTCCACCTCTGAGGAAAGTGTGTGATTTTTTTCTTGTGTGCACATGCACTTGTTTCTCTTGGACATTAGAAACAGAAAACTTAGTTAATAGAGAGGATGCCAGCACTGAGATCATGCAGACTTCTGGCTTTACAGAAAGAGGAAGGCAAGCCTGAGCTAGGCGTCACCATCCACACTTCACCTTTGCTCACTGGGGGTTTCTTGGTGATTTCTGTTCCTCGGAAGGCCTCTGAGGAGAGGGGTTTGTTGGTCTTTTTGTTTTTTTTTTTCTTGCTGATTAGTCTACAGGGAAATAAAACCTGTTATGACTGTGAGCCAAGTTCTGTTTTAAAACTAAAAGCAAGATAAGGCTAAAGAAGTAAGATGGCTGTGATAAAAACCTGCAAGGCATGTTAGCACTTTGAGTTTGGTGGAAGGATTGGAACAATGGATTCTGCATTAAGACCAGTGTCCCAAAGGCTTGTGCTTTTTCCTCCATTTTTTAATAAACCCTTCTTACTAAGTTATCATTCTGGTGTGGGCACCTAAGCAAGTACGATGGAGTTCTCTGATTGATTGACTTTGATGTTTATTTCCTCTCAAGATCATCAAGTTCCAGCACTTAGCAGTCTGTTACCCACTGCACCCTGGTTCCCTTCCTGGGACGTGCACAGGGTAACAGGGCCATCTCCATACATCACTCCATCCATAGCACATTCTTCAAAGATGTTGCTAAAAGCAGCTCTGGAAGTGGGTCTTGGTAGCATTTAGATTTTGCCTGCCAAGGAAGAGCATAGGGTCTGTAGCTTAATGAATAGCATGTCTTTAAATAAGAATATGCCTGAACCACAAGTCATGCCAAATGCCAACAGCATATGAAAGTATTTGCTGTGAACAATGGAACGATATATTCATGCTGCAGTGTGAAAGGAAACATCTTGAATTTCACCCTGGCATAAGCTAGTGGTGTTACGTAAAAGGCAAAACGAAGGCTTCGGGTCTTGAGAAAATCCTTTCCAGTTTCAGTTCCACAGGGCAGCAGTGCTCTTTTTTACTGAGGGAATGTCCAGTAGAAGGTCATCTTCAGAATAAACTCGCTCTGTGGTGCTTTGGGATTCTGATACGCCCCTTCCTTCTTCAGAGTTTATTGAGATTTCAGTAGCAATTAAAGATGGTTACTTCTCTTGCTTGTCCAAGCTTATCTCCTGTGTCTGATCAACTAAAATTGGTTTTGCTTGTCTGTTTTTGCTGCAGACAGAGGACTATCTGAAACGGAAAATCCGGTCCCGGCCAGAGAGATCGGAGCTGGTTAGGATGCACATTCTGGAAGGTACAGCACACGTGGAAGAGGAAGACACCAACAATAAGATTTGTCATAACTACTTATTGGCAGCTTTCTCTTGTGCCTCCAACCCCCAGATCTTTCCGTTAGTTGGGAGTGGGCAGAATATCATGCTACAGGCCTGTGGCGTGATTTCTTGGGAGTGATTCAACAATCTCTGAAGAATCTCTTATGTAAACTCAGATTGTACAGTTTTGTGCAGCTGAGCCACAGTGAAATAGAATGGGCATTGCTCTTCTGCTAGGGGATGGCACTGTAAAATACTGAAGTGGGAAGAAGGCAGATTTGATCTAATCAATGTGCACCTCAGTTTCAGAGAGGGAGTACTGTCCTGCTGCTGAGTACCACATCTTTGGACACAACTGAAAGGGAAAAGATGAATGAGAATCAGATGACAATAGTTTGAGAACAGTGAGTTTATCCTAATCTAGAGTCACAGGAGCTGTTATGGTATCTTCATAACTTCAATTTACATATTATCTATAATATCTCTATATTATGTAGTTATCTAGTGTAATCTGCCATTATTTTCCTATACAGCTATCTACCATTATCAACAATTACCTTTGTAAAGAGAAGTTAGGTACTGCTAAAGTACGTAGGTTGGTCACTGTTGAACTGATGCCATTGTATTTGCTTTTCCCTGAACAGAGACCTCAGCTGAACCCTCCTTGCAGGCTAAGCAGCTGAAGCTAAAGAGAGCCAGGCTAGCAGATGACCTCAATGAGAAGATAGCACAGAGGCCAGGTCCCATGGAGCTGGTGGAGAAGAACATCTTGCCTGTGGAATCCAGCCTGAAGGAAGCTATTATAGGTGAGGCCAGAGGAGGGTCTGTGTGGAGGGCATTGCCCAAGGTGTCTGTGATTTCCTATCGTTTTGCCTGCCTGCTTAAGGGAGCGCAATCCTATCATTGTTCTTATTTTCCCATCTCAGAGCCTTTCAGCCCCCAGGATTTTGCAAAACAGAATGCCCTCTGGAACAGATAGTAGTAGAGAGATGTTAAATTATGTTGTGGACATTAAATTATGAGTGTAGACATCCCAGAATAATGCAAGAGTGTTTACATACCCTGAGGGCTTGAAAGACTGCTGTAGATTGCATTCCCTAGATTCTCTCGTTAAAAGTTTCCCCTGATATTGACACATCAGCAACCTTGGTCAGGGAGATCCCACTGAGTGACTCACATCAGGAAAGGAGACAGAATACAAACAGGTGTGATGAAACAAAAGCTGTCTGTGAACTTACAAACTTCAGAGAATCCAACCCCTTTAAAAATAAACCAGAACAGATGTAAATCATGCCAGTGCCATTCCAAGGGCTGTAAGGAATGCTGAGGAATAGCCTTCCCACCGCCTCAGCAGTGCTCTTTCCCATCTCCCCTGGCTGGGTGTTCTGTGCACGACTGTGGTTACTCTTTCCCTCAAACACACACAGCTATTTTAAAGACAGATGGGACACAACTGTGAGCAAGGCTGCATACTTCTCATGAAAAAAAGGAAAAGGGCAGTGCTGGGGGAGACCTGGCTTAACTATTGCACAGGAAATGGCTGAAGAATAGAAAGAGTGGGCTTGTGAGCTGGCATATTAGAGAAGTGGCTTCCTTCTGACTCTGAGCAGAACACATCTCCATGGATTTCAGTTATGTTAGATGGAAATGATAGTATTTTCTGCTTACCAGGATTAATTTGAGATAAGTTGCTGTATGTGGGATGTGTAGACAGACAGAAATGTTAATAGCAGTCAGGGCCACTAAATCCACAGACCCTGTTGCTTATAAGAGTAGAGGACAATTCAGGATTCTGTCTTGAAGAGTGATTCTATCTTCCACCACCTAGGGTGAACACCAAGAAAGCATGACTCAGCCCTACACTGACCTTTTTCTTTGGTGCCGCATGGTCAGCAAATAGGCCGTGCTTCAGCCCTGGGTTTGGCTTCAGTAGCTCTTGTTGTGCTTCTTGATCTCATCTTGTGGAGAAGCAAGAGAAGTGGTTCACCCCAGTCCACATCTGTGCATTCTGCTGATAGCAGAGATGAATATAAACCCTTCAAATGGATCCAACTTGGGTTTCATTTTCTCTTTTTTGTATGATACTTTAACTCAGACACAGTTCCCCATGCCTTCATTTTCTTTGTGAAACATCTAGTGGCAAGTGAAACGATTTCTAATTCCACTTGGAAGCCCATGGCCAATGTTTGTATTTTCAGTTGGACAGGTCAACTACCCAAAGGTTGCAGACAATTCCTCCTTCGACGAGGACAGCAGTGATGCCCTCTCCCCAGAACAGCCAGCCAGCCATGAGTCCCAGGGGTCTGTCCCATCGCCGATGGACTCACGGATTTGTGACCCTCTCCCTACCACCACTGGCACATCACTAGCTCAGGTGAGAGCGTGGTGGCCTCCTTCAGTGCCTTGGAGCTACTGCTGATTCATGGCAAGGGATCCTAAAATGCAAGGCTAAGGGACTCCGAAAAGGTCACAGCATAATCAGTGAGATTTCACAAGGGGTCTTAGCTGTGTGTGGCACCGGTGATGTCCTCTGGTCCTTCAGAAGTGCCCATAGTGGTGTCATGTGGGGAATGGGACAGTCCTGGCTGGTGAGGCAGGCTGGGCAGGCGTGCAGCTGATTCAGGCAAGCAAAGCTGGACATGCAAGTGTAGGGTTTTGATTCCTTCTCTGCCCTTGGAAGTTGTGGTGCTTCTTGGGGACAAATGGAGTGGGTTAAAGGAATCTAATTAATCACTTGAATACTCTGCTGCTCCTCCTTAAGTGGGCACTTCCCACCACTCTGTTAAAATGCTTCCCTCCTCGTTCGTGTTCTCATTATGCCTTTCTCTGTCCCTGCAGGGTACATCCCAATTGCAGATTAGTGCAGACTGCAATGAAACACTTTTCCTACCTGAACAGCCGCCTCCGCCTCTGCCACCTCCACCTCTTCTGCCTCCCAGTCTTACCAATGGAGCAGGTCTTCCTGCTGCCAAGCCCCCACCGACGCTCATTAAGGTATTTTGGATGGTTTCTTCATTGGTGTATTCAGAAAAAAGATGAGATGATTATTCTGAAGAAGACTTGGAGTTGAAAGTGCTATGTTAACAGAAGCTAAGAAGGCTTATATACCAGTGTCTTCCTCTGACCCTATTTGAGCAATATATTTAATAGGTTCTTCTATTCCGTGAGCTGTTTACCTTCTGTGAAATGGGTCCTAAATGCAGAACGTTTTGAATCAGTTGGTGTTATTTATAAGTAGAGTTAGTGAGCCTGATGGATGAGTGGTCTGGTGTGCTGGGAAAGATGAATGGCTGTTTTGCTGTGAGCGGTGCTACAGTGCTCCTGTGGGTGCTGTGGCTGTAGTATTGCTTGAGTTAGGGAGGCGTGGAAAGACCCTGAGGTCAGATGTGGAGAATTTTGAAACAAAAATCCCAGCGTGCTTTCTGGTTTATGTGGGGCCTTGTGTTATTTTAGGGTTTTCCTTTCTTATTTGCTTCCTTTTTTTCTTCTGAATAGCAAAGCCAGCCCAAGTCTGCTAGTGAGAAGTCTCAGCGCAGTAAGAAAGCCAAGGAGCTGAAGCCGAAAGTCAAGAAGCTTAAATATCATCAGTATATTCCCCCGGACCAAAAGCAGGACAAAGGAGCTCCTCCCATGGATTCATCCTATGCCAAAATACTGCAGCAGCAGCAACTCTTTCTCCAGCTTCAGATCCTCAACCAGCAACAGCAGCAGCACTACAACTATCAGACCATCCTGCCAGCTCCACCAAAGTATGGGTCCTAGGTGTAGCGCTCTCTTAGGAAGGCCTTTCCCAGTGCTATTACCAAACACATTGTGTTCTACGTGTGTGGTGTGGTGAACGGGTGTGTGATGCACTCAGTCTTCTTGGGTTATAGTGGGCCTCAGAAAGGGCCAGTGTTGGAGATGGGTGTAGCCTAGGGATGAATATAGCCAAAGGCGTGCTTTAATGCCTAGGGTGTTTCTGGACCTGTACGATTGTTGGCATACATAGGTACACAGATCCTCTTGGCAGGCTGCTCCTGTACTGAGAGCCTCCAGTGCCTTTCTGCCTTGATTTCGATGGCTGTGGTTTTTCTCTTCCTGCAGGCCTCCAGGAGAGCAGCAGACTGGTGCCAGTGCCCCAGCCATACGCAGTCTCTCTGCTGCAGTCAATAGCACATCTTCGGTATCCTCTGGTTCCGGTGGGCTGATGCGACAAAACAGTAATGCTGCAGTGGGCAAGCCAGGCCCTCTCCCTGCCAACCTGGATGAGATGAAGGTAAAAGTTGGTGCTGCTCTCAGTCCTGTGGAATTGTACAGCTGTTTTGTTTTGCCATTGTCAGTGATGAGAGTCAGCACTGAGTCACCTTTGTGCCCTGGAGCAGAGCTGACATGGACTGGTGGTAGCTAAGGCTAACAGCTGGCAGTGCTGCCCTGCAGCCTGGACCTGAGATGCAAGTCTGCTGGCCTGCAGGGGGTCAGCTTGCTCCTTTGCCCCAGGGCTCTGGCAGCTGATAATAGTTCTGGTTATTGTGCTTGCTGTCTTAATGTTGCCCTCTTTCAACCCCCATCAGGTGGCAGAGCTGAAGCAAGAGCTGAAGCTGAGGGCCTTGCCTGTCTCGGGCACAAAGACAGAACTGATTGAGCGGCTCAGAGCTTACCAAGAGCAGAACGGCACAGCCAGCCAAACAACCTCCACTCCCAAGCCCAGCACTGCAGCCATTCTCCCCAAAGCTGCTGAGGTAGTGGTTGCTTTCCCAGCTGCCAGGCTGAGCACGGGGCCAGCCCTGGTCACCACTGGCATCGCACCAGCAGAAGTAGTTGTGGCCACAGTCACTGGTGGTGGTGTGATGAAGTTTGGCAGCACTGGCTCGACTCCACCTGTTTCTCCCACTCCTTCGGAACGCTCACAAATGAGCACAGGGGATGAGAATTCAGCCACTGGGGACACCTTTGGGGAGATGGTGACTTCGCCTCTGACCCAACTCACCCTGCAAGCGTCTCCAGTGCAGTTTCTGGTGAAGGAAGAGAGCTCCAAGTCTGCCTCCTGCAGCGTCAGCGCGGCACCCAGGTCGGAGCGGTGCAGCACCGGGAACAGCAGGGATGCAGAAGTTAGGGACAAAGATCAGATGCTGCAGGAAAAGGACAAACAGATCGAGGAGCTCACCCGCATGCTGAAGCAGAAGCAGCAGTTGGTTGAGATGCTCAGACTACAGCTGGAGCAGGAGAAACGCGCTCAGCAGTCGCTACCAGCCCCGGCGGCTGCGGGAGAAGGAACAGCTCTCGCCTCCAACCCAGTAGCATTTGGTATCCAGGTCAAGAGTGAAAACGGTTTCCCGAGCTGCCAGTATGCAAAGCAATCCAGTGGCCAAACCGACCAATTCAACCCCACACCAACCTCTAGCCAAATGGACACTTCGAACCCAAGCCCAGTGCCAAAGAAAGCCGTGATGGTGAAGCAGGAGGTGCCAGCCACGGAAGCAGAGCCGCCGTGCCAGTCCCACAGCCCGCGGCTGTTCCTTGGCCAGCAAGGGAGCGCCCTGATCAAGGGCACTCCTCCTCCAACCCTCATCACCGACTCCACAGGGACCCACATCGTCCTCACCGTGACCAAGCAGAGCGCCGAGAGGCAGGGCCTCTCACCCCAGGGGAAGGCAGTGAGCAGCTGCCCGACCCCACAGGTAGGCTCAGATCCCAACCCCACTGCCGCTGTCGGACTCCCCTCTTCCTCTTCATGCAAGGGTCTAGGTTACCATAGGATCACTTCCTGTGTTGGAAATTCAACTCAGAGAATGCCAAAATAAATGCCCGATATGCTTGTGATGGTGGCTAGTAGTTCATGGCTATGTACATCAGAGCAGTGCAAGTAAAACTTCACCATAAAGACTGTAATTTGGCAGTGCTGAGCTGTGTACAGCAGTGCATGTCCGTGCATCACAGGCTGTCCAGTAATCTCACAAACACACGGTTCTGCCTCCCATGAGGCAAGATCTCAGGCTTGGAGGACAAGGGTTTGCAGGCACATTTTGCTACTTCTCAAAAGAACAACTGTGCCTGTGGCATTAGAAAAAGCAGGGTGTATTTCACCCCTTGTTCCTTATTGGAGAGATTGTACTCAGAATGATAGATACATCACTTTGTCTGCTGAGAGCTGAAGTCAGACCCTCAGAGCAGACTTTTACATCTTGACTGCTCTGTTTTAATGCACGTCAATATTTCAGGGTTAGCAGCGTCTTTCATCAGCTATGATCCACTATTCCCCTGTTGGCATGAATCCAGCACTTAGCAGAAATGTTCTAAGAGTTCCAGGAAGGCATAAATATGTTTTATGGCATAAGTCAAACTCCAGCATCTTCCACGGAATCAGGGAACGTTTCCATTCTCTGCTGCCACGTTTCTTGCGCCTGCTGCAGAGCAGTGGCAGTGTCTGCTATCAGTGACAGGCCCTGAGCAGGCTGCATTTGCTGTGCAGCAGGCGAGATGCAAATCAGCTAAATGCCAGGGCTCAGCATCACCCCTCACACTGCAGCTCCAGCTGCTGCTCCAGAAATGCATGGATTAGCAGTAGGTGCTGTGGCAGTGCTGCCACTCCGAGGAAGCCACGGAGAGCCAAGGGGCTTAGCCTGGCATTGCCTCCTCATTGAGGATGCCAAATCCTGCTGCACTTTGATTTCTCTGCTTGGTGAGACAGAATGATTGCAGTTCACAAAGATTAAAGAGTGAGGAAAAACAGACTTCATAAATCCTTTAAGAATCACAATTATCTCCACGTTGTGTCTGGGGAACAGTTTCTCACTTCTTCTTTCCAGAGAGTACAATCATCGCCCACTAAAACTTCCAGCCAACTGCAGTGTCAGCCACCTGCAAGCACTCCTCAGCCTCCCACACCACAGCAGCAGCAGCCCAGAGGCCTGAACCAACCTGTCAGAAAGGTAGCGTGCTGCCTGCTTGCTTTTTCCCTTTGTTTTCCTTTGCCTGCTGCAAGGTTTGTAGCACTGGTTGGGAGGGAACACATTCACCCACTCCTGGTCAGAGCCCATCATCACAGTGAGGGCTCACAGCAGCTTCTGCCATAGCTGGGTGAAATATCAGCTAGTGTTTCTGCAGGGGTTTCTACCAATTAAAAACGATGAAAGGTCAGAGTGGGCGGCCTGGGCTTGTAATGGTGCTCACGATTCCTGAAGGATTGCTGCTGAAATGAAGAGGTGGTTGCTCTGCAGAGACCATACCTGTTCATTGTGTCTTTGTGATCTGCAGTGCAGACTGGAGAAAGAGAGCACCTCTGGCATCATCCCTTCTCCAAGTGACAGCTGTAAAGACATCCTGCTGTGCACCTCCTCCCTTGCTAGCCCACATCAGTGATGACTTAGCTTGCTCTCTGCCATGTAACTAAGAGACAGAAATATTTCTACAAAGAATTTTTAGACTTCGGAGGATCATTTCTGAGTCAGAACCTGGAAAGGATAAAAAGATAGGATTAATTTCTAGCACAGTCAGAGTGGGACACCCTTTTTGCAAAGGCTCGGTGGCTTAGTTCACGTTGAGACCTTTGAGGAAATGCAGAAGGTAAATGAAGAAACTGATTTTCCTTAGAATCCCTTGGCTTGCATGCTGTGGGGGCATCTGGAGCAACTCCCCAAATCCTTTTGCCTCCCTGCAGGTTGTTACAGGGCGCATTGTCTTTCTCAGCTCCTACAAACCTGCAGCCTTTCTGCCTCGATGGCTTCCACAGAGGGTCCCTGAAAACCTGTGCCCCTCTCAGGCAGGCAGAGAACCCCAGAGCAGCTCAGTGGGCAGGCGCCTGGGGCTGCGTCTGTACACAGAAGCCACAGAGCAGACAGAGAGATTTCCAGGGAAAACAGGATGAGGTAGAGCATCAACACGTAAAAGGCTCAAACTGCCTGGGGATCACTGCTCTGGCAGAGCAAGTGTCAATGTGGTTCACTTGTAACCACTGCAGAGGCAAAGACCCCGTCCACATGGTAACATTTCTTTTGGGCACCAGTGTGCTGATTCATCTGGTGAAGCTGAGTCACCAGCTCCGCTTCCTGCAACAACACTTGGGGTTTCCTTTGGAGACCTCTGGTACTGCTGAGTGTTCTAGTGATCTTCACACCCTCAGGCTGTGGAATTTGCTGCTAATTAAGCCTGCTTGTGTCCCCAAAGCAAGCGCTGGAGGGGAAGAGGGGAGGATGACGGAGAGGGCCTGGCTTGGAGGCTGAACAAAGTGAGAGAAGTGCCCTCTTCCAAAGTCCCAGGAGTTCCCCACTTGGACCAATGAGGCTTTCCCCATCATGGAGCAGCCTGATGGTGGTTTGTGGTGTGGTTGTCTTAGCATAAGAAATATCAGTGAGAGATTTCCAGCTGAGTTGAGGGGAAGTCTGTCTCTGTGTCATCGGTGCATAGTGCATGGAGTGCACAGAAGCCAGGCTGCTGAGAGGAGCGGTGCCCAGGCAAGAGAAGGAGTGACATTCGCTAAAGAAACCATGAGCTTTTTCCTGATCATTCCTTATGTCTTTGCTCTGCACAGCCCTCATCCCAGCCCAGCTCTCCTGCTGCCCCCTCCCCTTCCCAGATGGACCTGGAGCAACAACAGCAGCAGCAGCAGCAGCAGCAGAAGCAGCAGAAGCAGCAGAAGCAGCAGCATACATCGCTTTTTGGACCTCCTCCACCACCTCTCCCTGTCCCCTCAGTCCCACTGAAACAGCCACCAGGCTATGAAGAGGCCATGAAGCAGCAGCCAAAGACCCAGGTGAGAACAGGAGGAAAGGTGCTGCTGTAATTCCACTTTTTCCTCACCTCACCTGGGCCACTGAAGGAGAACAGAGACAAAACAACCCCTTCTGAACCTTCCTATCCAAATTCCTTCTTGAAATTCATTCTGGAGGGCCTGGGGAAGATCCTATGCCCAGGAAAAGATCCCAAACTGCTCAGTGCCCAGTGGGTGTTAGAGCAGTTGCTGACTGCACCTTTGCCTCCAGTAGCAGCCTGGGATCATGGAGGAGTCTGGTGCCATGGGTCTGTGTGCTGTCCATGCAGTGACAGCCCTGTTACTGGGATGAGGGAGGACAGCCAGCAGCCAAGTGTCTTGCTGGAGGGAAGCTCCCCTGTAATAGGAAGCTAATCCTGTGCTTGCTCTCCCCAGGAGAATGGCTGTTCCAGCCAGCAGATGGATGACTTGTTTGACATTCTCATAGAAAGTGGAGGTAAGGAGACAAACCTGCATTTCCCAGCCAGTGGGTTTGACCTGGGGATTATAGAGCACTGAGGGGAGCATGTGTCATGATGAAGGTCTTTACTTCTGTGTCCCTAGCAGTCATTAAAGCACCAAGGGAGATGTCAGATGGGCATTAATAGGATTGAAAAGCTGCTTGGTTGCTGTGCTGCATCAGCTCTGGGCACGTCTCTGCTCTGAGCCAATGCTTGGGTTCCCTGTGGGCAGACCACAAACTCCCTTCAGGCAGCAGAACGCAGGCATGGGCAGATTCCTTATCCCTGTCTGTGCTCAGTGATGGTTCGATCCTGGGGGGGTCCAGGTTGCCATGCTGGGTGGGAGGAATCGCTGCGGTGTTTGGCCACGCGTCTCCTCACCTGGCTGGCGTGTTTGTTCCCCTGCAGAGATTTCTGCTGACTTCAAGGATCAGTCATCCCCAGCTGGAAAAGAACCACCTGCAGCCCCTGCCTGCTCCTCACCGCCCAGCAGCCACCATTCCTCAGAGCTGGCGGTGCCGGTGTCGCTGGGGCAGACGGTGCCCGTGGGGCGGCTGGAGGACTTCCTGGAGAGCAGCACCGGCCTCCCGCTGCTGACGGCAGGCCACGATGGGCCTGAGCCCCTGTCCTTGATCGATGACCTCCACAGTGAGATGCTGAGCAGCTCGGCCATCCTGGACCACCCGCCTTCACCCATGGACACCTCGGAATTGCACTTTGCTCACGAGCCGGCCGGGGGCATAGCCTTGGATCTGGCTGAGGCTAACTTGGACAGCATGGACTGGCTGGAGTTGCCGGGGGGATCTGTCATGAGCCTGGCCCCCCTCAGCACCACGGCTCCCAGCCTCTTTTCCACAGACTTCCTTGATGGACATGATCTGCAGCTGCACTGGGATTCGTGCTTGTAACTCTGTGAGCAGAGACTGAAGGGAATGGGTGCGGGAGGGCACGGGCATGCAGGGGGAAGAGGCCAGTCAACCAAAAGAAACCCCAGAAACAAAAGAAAGAGAAAAAAAAAAAAAGGAGCTCCTAGTATCTATACTCCTCCCCCACAGTGTTCCTCCCCTATGAAGCCAGCAGTGGCAGCAAGGGCAGACCCTCTGCTTAAACCACTGCCTGCAGAGCAGTGGGGCCAGGAGAATGGCTGCAGCTCTGGGGCGAGAGCAGAGCTGGCAGCCCTGCTCCCTCCTGCAGGATGTGGGCATAGAGCTGCAGGTGATGAATGCTTCTTGCAGCAGGACAGGGTGTGACCGGACCCGAGCCCTTCTGAAAGCAGCATCCCACTCCTTGCTGGCAGATCTGGAGCATTACACAGCCCCAGCTGCCCCAGTTAATGGTTGTAGAAGGGGATTATTCTACCTCTGGAGCAGGGCACAGAGGAGGGAGCTGCCAGGAGAGCTGCCTGCTGCCCCTGTGCCATCCGTCAGGGGTCACCTCTGCCACAGGGCTGTAAGGAATAGGCAGAACAGGCACCTTTTCCAAATGTAGCCAAAGGAAACCGGAGTTTCCCACCAACCTGGTACTCTCTGAGCTGGTTTCTAAATTCCTGCTGAGCTTGGCGAAGGCTGCCACTTGCTTCACTTGCTTTGGGCTGCAAAAACAGACTTTTAGGTGCTAAAATCCAGGTTAGATCTGTCCTTCACTGACCCAGGTCTCCAGCTGTGCCTGGAGTCAGCCTGCAGGCACTCTGCTCACTGCCCCCAAGCTGAGCAGGGCATCAGCCCACTGTCCTGGGGAGTGCAGAGGGGCACAGCTGCCATCGAGTAAACATATCATTAAGGGCCACGTGCAATCTTTCTCCTGCCTTCAGCTGTGCTACTGCCTCCCTGCAGCAGGTGACCCAGGTGTAAAGAAGAGCTCCTCCCACCTCCAAAACTGCCCTCCAGCCCCAAGGAGAGAAGGATGTCAGCCCCAGCAGCAAGGAAAGGGAAGAGGCACTGCTGAGAGGGTTTGTGCTGGCTCAGGAGCGCTACTGTGGGGGGCCCTTTCTGAGGAGAACTGATGGGCTTCTGTCTCTGCTCTGCTGTGCCCACACCTCAGTTTTAAGAGGCAAACACAGCAATGAGCTGTGGCCTGGAACCTCCATTCCTGTGCACTTGCAGCCCCACAGTACTCGCTGTCAGGAACTGACCTGGCAGCTGGTTGAGCTCACACTTGCAGTGCAGCTGGGAGAAAGTCCTGCCTTCCTGAGCCCGATCTGCTTGTCAGCTACATGGGGAGCCACTTCCTTAATCATCTGTGGGGGATGCCTGCTGACAGCTGCCTTTCTGCCCCTCCTTCTGTTGCCCAAGCCCCAGTCCCATCATAAAACCAGTAACTGGGACTGGTGGACCATCCCTGCCCCTTCCTTCCACTCTTGCCTTCCTCACTCATCATTTCTCAGGCCCAGCATGATTATGGTGGTTGTGCGTTGTGTGTACTGGGAAGCAGGAACCTGGCACAGAGGAGCAGAGGCAGGATTAGAAATCATGCTGCAGAGCGCTCGCAGCACAGGCCCTGACTCTTTGCTTTGAGATATGAACAAGGACAGTGTCAGAGCCCACCCAGGACAGCTGACTGGCCATGGGACCACATGGCACAGGAGGCAGACAGCATAGGAGAAAAGTGTGGCAGGGGAGCAGGAGGAAGATCTTTCCTCCATGAAGTATTTCACATGTTAAGGAGGAAAAATGAGGCTGCCTTTTCCTCAAACTCAAGCAAAATCAGCTGCTTTTAGCCTGCAGAGAGCAGCAGCCCCCCCGGAAAAAAAAAGAAACACCTGTGTGATTTCTTTTGTACAAATAATCACAAAGTGGCAACCAGCAAATAAAGAATGAAAGTATCCAAGTGCAATTCACTCCTACGGAAGGTGGGAGCACTCCACCTGCACCCCAGGCCTGACTCAGCCATGGTTCTTTGCGCTGGGCCGGGGCCCCCAGCCCTTGCTGGCAGAGGTGCCAGCGCCCCTTACTGGTTTCACCCTTCCCCTGGGTGGGTGGCAAAAGGCTCAGTTTCTATGCACCGCTGTTCGCCTTTGCTCACCCCCCTCCCCTTAGGAAAGCTGTAGGAATACATTACATTGGCCCAATGTACTTGAAACCAGCTGAGGAACGCAGCGAGCCTGCCGGGGCCCCCTGCACAAAGGGCTTCTGCCAGCACAGCAGCGATAACCTGGTGGCTAAGGGCAGTGGGAACGGGGCGTCTCATCCTAGCAAATAATAATAGAGGTCTTTTCCCCAAGATGTGCCCAGAGCAGGCTAGCCCAGTTCTCTGCTTTCTTACTATTATTTGTTTGAATAATAGTTCAATAGTTCTTTGTTGGAAGAGGTATTCCCCTGGACGTACATTTCTGCACCCACTGGGAAAAACAAGAAGTCTGATGTTCTGCCTCTACCTTGAATGTAATCCTGAATCTTTCTGCTGTAACCACTACTTGTTTGTAACGTGTATTTGACTAGCACGAACTCTCCCTTCCACTATGCAGCAAACGGCGAGGGGTGATCGGCACCGTCTGAGACGGACGGTGTTGGGGTGTCGGATCCAGAGCGAGTATTCAACTGGAAAAGGATAAGAGTGACAAGTTAATGGGGGAGAGAATGGATCTTTAAATTGAATTATTTTTTCAGTTACAAATATTTGAAAGAAAAAAAAAAAACAAAACATTTTATTAAAAAAATTCCAAACGGCCACGTGCTCCGAAACTTCTCTGTGGTGCTGGTGGGAGGGCCTGGCGCTGCTGCCTGTTCCAGCTGAGGGGTGGGTGAGCTCTCCGAGTCCTTCCAAAACCTGAGCAACCACCAAAGGCCTCAGGGCAGGAGGAGCACAAGTAGCTCCTTCCAGCCTCCTAACAGCACTGTGGGCTGCCCTGGACCCTGCTGCTAGAGATGAGGCTGCAGAGCTTGAGGAATAGCAGGGCTGCCCCCACCCAGCTCAGCTGCTCAGGGCCCCATCCAACTTAGCCTTGAGTGCCCCCAGGGATGGGGCACCCACAGCTTTGCGGGCAATCTGCTCAACAAGGAATTTAGTTAGCCCCGGTCCCATGGAAAAACAAAGCCGAAGTCCAGTGCTCTCCCAAGATGCAGTTTATTTACAAACCCACAGAATAAAGTAAAGTAAGAATCTAGTGTCATCTCATGAGTAGTTTGTGCTCACTGACAAGCGCTTTCACTAGAAAGTCACAGACTCCATATCCAGAGCCACCACCACAAAGCAGCAATTCTCCACTCCCGACTGGCATCCCTGCCCCCGCTGCAGGGCGAGGAGGACCAGTCGGTCTCCCTGAGCCGGCTCCAACCTGAACCCCATCCTGAGCTACGACAGTGCCAAAATATACACATGTTCTCGGAGTTAATTTACAGCTTTTTGGTTAACAGTAAAAATCACGTAGAGACTAAAATGATAGCATGAAACACTCTTTCTACAGGAGTGTTGGTTTTTGTCTGCTCCCAGAGGAGACAAAGCCCGTCCCCTAGGGCTGTTAGAGCAGTGCTCTCCAGCACCTCATGTCGACATCCCACACACCAGTGCCAGAGAAGTGGGATGAGGCTGATACCAGTTCCCCCTTCTCTGCCCTGACTCCACGTCGGGGGGAACCCATTCAAGTGCTTCAGGTTCTGCCCTCCCCCTCCCCTTGGAGGTGAGCCCTTGGATAGCACGAGGTGGGGTGCGTGCCATCCCTGCTCCACACAGCATCAAGTCCCTCACCAGCTCTATTCCACCTGCATCTGCAGTGCCACCCTTCACGGATCAAAGCCATCCCACAAGGATTGCCTCTGCCCCACAGCAGCTGGAAACACTGGCACACAGTGGCTGGGCCTGCAGCCCCTCTCCCCAGGGAAATGGGGGTGGCAGAAGTGGGTAAGGCTGGGAGGGGACACTCATTTTTCTGATCAGAACACACATGTCCCTGTGCAGCATCAGCCTCGACCATCACCTCCCTCGGGTCTGGCAGCAGTGCCACAAGGCCACGCTGCATCGGTCCCGGGTAGCCTCGCAGCCCCCCGAGGGGGATTTTGTCACAGATACAAGTGTGGGGTAGGGAAGGAAGGGGATGTGAGATGATGGGGCTTGGGGAGAGGAGTGCAGACCACTGAGAAGGTTCCCGGGGCAGGGGGGGGTGGAGGTCACCCATCTATGTCCCAGCTGAAGAGGTGGTGTTTCACAAGCATGTCCTGCACGCCTTCCTTCAGTGGCTTCTTCTCCTTCTCCTGCAAGGAGGCACAGAGACCTGGGTCAGTGCACTGCATCCAGACAAGCAGGGCCCAGGCAGCCAAGGCACCCAGCATCCCGCAGAGCTGCCTGCACTTCCCACCACCCCAGCTGAAGCAGGGAGAGGCCCTGAGGTTTGGAGAGCATTGAGGAAGGGAGGGGCTGCCACTTCCCTCTGCCCCAGCTGTGTGGGCAGTGCCCTGCCACCTATTCCTGGGCATCGCTAAAGAAAACAGCTCCATCCACAGCTGGTTCCAGGATGAGCTGGAGCACCAGATAGTGAGGAGAGGTGCTAAGCGAAGCCCCCTGCCCAGAAGAGGAGCAATGCTGCCTACTCACCTCCCTCTTTATTGGCAGCTCCCAGTCCTGAGACAGGCTGAAGGCAAATTTGCAGAGCACTCTGAAATGGAAAAGAGTGGTAGTAATGCACACATCCAGAGCTGCTGCCCCAGCTACACAACTGCTCCTCAGCTTGCCCTGGAAAATTGCTCAGTTTTATAGGGGTGGAGAGCCTTTTTTTTGGCACCAAAAAAGCAGCACCAGCCGTCTGTGGCCAGTTTCCTCCTGTACTTAGGGCTTTGCATCTTGCCAGGCCCAGGCTGGGAAGAGCAGCTTAGAAATGTGACTCAAGTGCAACCCCTATAGAGCCTGACAATACAATGCAGGGAAGTGCAGGCAGCCCCATGGCTCTGCTGAGTTGCAGACACATGTAGGTTTCTCTCCAGAAAGCTGACTGCTATCAGCAGCATCTCCAAGATTTTACACTCACTGTTCACTCCCTAAAGTAAGAGGGGCATCCTGACCCCTATGGACATGTGCTG